TCCAGCCTCCGGATGCTTCGTGTCTCTTTGATCGGATGCATTATTCTCATACGCCTTTATTGAATTTATTATCCCGGCTGCTCATTACTCGCTGCATTACCGGAATCGCTTTTGCCGTTTAATCCGGCATCCACTCCTCGCCTTTTCTCTTTTGCTTACTTCTGACATCGTAATATCCGACGCTATCTACTACAGAGGTAATTTTGCTACGGGCCGTGCGAAGTAAAATCGCGCGCCTATAAATCCAATTTTCACCATTATCGGGAGCCGCCCGTCGCGGAGAGATTGGCAATATCAACATCCATAAAGACGATCCTGCTTGTACAAGTAAAATTCCATACTCTACTCTCTTAGGCGCGTTTACCGCGGCCCGGATGTTTGCCCGCAAACAATCGCCGCCAGGAAGAAGAGTCAGGTGAATGTTACCATCGAGCCGGAATACCAATCGGTCCTGCTGTGCGGCAGCGCGATAGAAACTGCGTTCGGGAAAATGCTAAAATCCTAGAAATGCTAAGCGAAAAACACGAACCCACGGAGATTTATACGCGACCAAATTTTCCTCCCGCGAACGTAAATTCACTCCTCGCTGTAGAATAATGACTGTGAAAGTTTCCTGTTCTCGTTTCACTGTGGGAATTTCAGGATTTTTCGAAAAAAGGATTAGCGCGAACGAGAACCTCGGTACATACGTTTCTTCTAAGTCTTTTATTCAACATGCTAAAAACATCCCTAAAATTAAAGAGGAGGAAAAAGAAAACGCTCGTATCGTGATAGCGGGTGTTTTGTTATTTTCACAAATGGATGAAAATGTTTTAAATAAAAAAATATAATTTATTATAAAACAAAATGACAGATTTTCCTAGGATTCTATCTAGAAATTGGATATATATTTCCAGAAACTAAATATATTATAGGAGCTATATTATATTTATTTTGTTATATTATGATGTTCAATTGATCATTTGTAATAGAATAAATTCATTATATTTTGCAGCTACACTAAAATAAGATTACAAGTTGACAAGATTTTAGATTTTAATATTTGAAACGGAAATATATATACCATATATGATTTAGTTTTTACTTGTTAATTTTTAAATTTTGTTTCGGCTAAAATTTCATATATGTAAAATTTTGAAAATAAAATGACAACCACTGCATATGTAATGTCAATTCTCTATATTGATATAAAAAAAATATATATATATATATATATATATATATATATATATATATAGTAGTTATTATTATTATTATT